CGACGAAACATCTGAGTATGTTTAGTTTGTTTAAAAAGTTTATTGTCGGAATGTTGTCGCGGAGATTTTTATACTGGTCAATTCATGCAAAAGTGTATGTTGTTATGTCGTAGGACTTTAGCCCTCGACCATACTGCGTATCATGAAAAACAAACTGAGAGAACATGACAGGAATAATAAATCATAAAACGTCAACTGTCGTCTTTGTTAAGACAAGCTTAGTTAAAAATTCCTTTCCGAGGTGAATCATTAATAACTTATGCCATAGTTCTGCCAGCTGTCTGGAAAACACGAATTCAGTCCTCGATTTCGATTTCGTTGTGAAATTTGAGCCAACCTTTAGATTAACTTGGGACCTAAATTGTAAAAAAATGCCAGGTTTTACTACACATAAAATCTTTAAGAGCATAGTTTCGAGACCTGAAAAGTTTCACTGCTTTGTAGAGTTTTCATTTGAACAAGCCAGGCCATTTCAGTTGAGTTCAAATGAGCGGATATTCCAAGATTCGGTGGGTTTTCAATAAAAAGAATAAAAATGTAAGACGTCGGAAAACTTTGAAATGCTCTCAATTTAAACTATAGCTATATATATCTGTAGCAAAATCTTACCTTGTCCTTCTGGTATAAGGGAAGCCAAAACGGTGAGAACGAAGGAGTAGATTACGAAGAGCATGTTCTCAGAAACCACCCGTAGGTTATAATTTAATCAAACGGCCACAGGGAGTTTTAAACTTTAGGGAAACATCAGGCAAAATATGACAGCTGAAAATCATTCTGCGTTCAAATACTACAAGACCATTATTATTTATGAGGTTCTCAATGGCTGTCCTAACTGAATTAATATTCTCTAGGATGTAATTGGCTGTTAAAACTCCGCATATCAGTGGCCTTCAAGTTGTCCTCTTCGTACGTTTCCATTTGACTTGATTATTATGTCGGCACGAGTTTGACGTATGGGGCTTATCTACTAGAAGACTTTTTATCAACTGTTTACAAGCTCTCTTCTTCCGCCCACACTTGATCGAAATGATAAGATGACGTGTTTTGATAAAACAGGTGAATGTTTCGAAATTGTCAAAAAAAAACTGTGAGAAAAATTATAGTTTTAACGAGGTTTTGTTATAAAATAGTTTGTGACTATTTCGTGAGGCACATGGTCAAATGTTATTCGTATTTAACTTGCGCTCTCACCCTCTCCCCCTTCACGTCAGGATCCTTTCAGTCTCTGTTTCATCGTTTAGTTTCAAAGAAAGGGCGAAGGGAAGGGGGATACACACGATAGGACCAAATACTAGGAGACCAACGAACCTTTCAAACAAACTTTAACTGTTTGAATTGAATTTTAATCTTATTAGATGAAAAGCTCCGTCTAGGCTTCACTTTACGTCTTCTTTGAGTAGATGGGAATTTTTCATTGCAAAGCTGAAAATTGCCATCATGCCAACTGACTCTTTAAACTTTTTTTCACGCATCGTACAAGCGAATGATTAACTGTACAACCATCCCAGCGAATGTTCTTCATCTTCGGCTGAAGGTAAGTTCAGTAAAGGATTCACTGATAATGAGTAATCAGCATCCTTTGACAAATATTTTTAAATAATTTTAAGATCTTTCGATTGCTCTGTCCAATCACAGAAACTGTCTTGGGAATCCTCGAACCATTCGCATCGCTTTTTGTTGGTATATTTATAGGAATTTCCTGTTCTACAATTCTATCACAAAGGAGAACTTGTTGTCCACTGTTTTCTATCATCTAAATACTTATACATCATACAAATTTCGAATAAAAATGTTCAAAACTGAATCTGGGTCCTCATTACATAATGAACCCTGCAAGGACCCTCAGACAAGGCTGGTTCAATTTTGTTTGTTACGAAACTCAGAGAGGAGTAAAAAACGATCAGTAAATTGGACATTCCCTTATTTGGGTATCCCCTTTTCCGGTGATACACATTTGCATTTCTCCCTTCTCTCACAAATTTATAAAGGCTGACAGTTTCTAAAGAAACTGTATGGGGCTGCGTCGGTGGGGGTAACGAAATAATTTGGATATATCAACAAAGTTGAAATGGTAAATTGGCCACCGTAACGGTTACAAAAGCTGACGTTTCGAGCGTTAGCCCTTCGTCGGAGCGAATAGAGGAATTGTGGGTTGTGTGCGCTTTTAAAGGCAGGAAATGGAGCTACCTGATTAGTGGAACATGGCAACGAGAAAAACACGAATAAATTATTGGAATGAAAAGCGTTCGTTGAAACTTGTGGGATTTAGACTGCCGGTTTGAAAGATGAGCTTTTGTTCAAGAGTTTTTCGGCTTTCCGTGCTACCTAAGTGTAAGGAAAGACCGCAGATTGCGATGTGTTGCTTAGAATGATTAGGCAAATTAAAATGTCTAGCGACTGGTTTCGATGTGTCCTTGTCATTGCTCTCCACGTCACGAAGGTGTTCTCGGAATCGGTCACCTAGTCTTCTGCCTGTTTCGCCGATGTAAATCTTTTTGCAATAAGTGCAGGTTATGCAATTGATTACATTGGCAGAGTTGCACGTGAAGTGATCGGTAATCTTAATGGATCGTTTGGGTCCCGATATTTTCTCAGTGTTTTGAATGAAAGGACACGTTTTGCATCGTGCGCGAGCGCATTTAAAAGTGCCTGGTTGGTCATTAGTCTGAAAAGAACTTCTGACCAAAAAATTGCCTATGTTTTCGTCGCGTTTGAATGAAATGAGCGGAGGCTGCGAAAAGATAGTGCTTGTCTCTGGATAGTTTTGAATTAATTTAAAGTTTTGAAGAATGAGGGATTTAACTGAGTGGTTATGAGAGTGAAACGTGAGAGTAAATGGAATGCGGTCGGAATCTTCCTTTTGTGACGTTTGTAGTGCTGAATGTCGATCAATAAGCTGGGCGCAGTGGTAACCCGCTTGAACGACAGAATCAGGGTAACCACATTTATCGAAAAACTGGCACATTGACTCTGATTTGTGGTGGAAATCAGAGTCATCACTACATAAACGACGAAGTCTTAGAAACTGAGAAAAAGGAATGGAATTCTTAACGTGAGATGGATGCGAAGACGAATACAACAAGTAATTATGGGAGTCTGTAAGTTTGTAATACACACTAGTGCAGAAACCGTTTCCTTCAATTGAAACTTTCATGTCTAAAAAGGATAAAGAACTGTCAGAAATTTCCCAGGTATATTTCAGAGCCGTGTGAAAAGAATTGACTGCGGTTATGAATTTAGTCAGCCCCTCTCTGGTAGAGGAGGTGGCGCCGATACAGTCGTCGATGTAGCGACCCGTAGAGTTCAGGTTTGGAGCCGTTGTTTGGCTGAAAAATTGGTGTTCGACAAAACCTACAAAAAGATTGGCATAGCTAGGTCCCATTTTGGTACCCATGGCTACACCATTGGTTTGTTTGAAAAAGTTGTCCCCGAATGAAAAACAATTGAGTGTGAGCACTAGTTCGGCTTAGCGTAGTAGTGTTTCAGATTTAAGTTCCTTAACAGTACGTTGATCAAAAAAGTGTTTAAGGGCCAGAAGACGTTCGCCATTAGGAATGACAGTGTAAAGAGACGTAATATCCTTGGTGAAAAGAAGTTTGTTTTGACCAAGGAAATTAAAGTCGCGAAAAATTTGAAGAGCGTGTTGGCTGTCTTTAATATACGATGGTAAAGTTTTGACGATGGGAGCCATAATTTTCTCTAGATAGCTGGAGATAAGTTCGGTTGGGCAACTGCAAGCCGAGACAATGGGCCGACCCGGGTTGTTAGGTTTGTGGAATTTTCGAGTAGCTGTGAGCGATCGATTGTTGCGTTGACCGCTTTTATGCAAGTAACCGCATCTTCCCAAGTTTTAGGGATGGCCATTACCGCAGGGAGTCTACCAACGCTTGGTGGCGTTGAATTCGGAGGTCGACTTTCTAAATAAGCATTTGTTTGCGCCTCTGTGGGGCCAGCCTTTATGACAGAAAATAAAGATTCAACCGTACTTTCCGGTTTCTTCGGCTTATCTTTGAGATGGGATCTTGCTGCTTCAATGCCTCCGCTCTGGGCCCCCTGAAGAAACTTTTCCATAAAGGATTTAATTTCTTCATGGTAATTGATGTGTTCGTTTAGAATCTCCTCTTGCTGCTCATTGAGATTATTATTTTCATCATCTTCTTCACTCGTACACATACGTTCTTCTTCCTGTGAGGAGACGGATGGGCTGTTCATCTTCAGGGCGTAGTTCTTCGCACACACGAATATTCTAAAGAAATGACAAGCTGGTTAAAAGTACGTTCTTTCACGCCACACGAAAAGCAAGTGGTTGTCATTTATTTGAAATTCTGATGTTATCTCTCAGCAAGCTTTTAGCAATCACCCACGCTGAAAGACTTCACACTAAAAAAATCGGCTTTTGAAATCTGTCGAAATGCAAATTCGTGTAAAAAATTTAAGCCAGTCAAGTTTCTCTCACAAAAAATATTTTCTGGTCCGATCTTCTCTTGGTGAAATTTCTCAGATTATCCAGTGCATATTTGGTAGTAGAATAATTCGAAATTCCACAATCTTCGCCGAGTGATTGATATTCTTTGCGAAAAGCCGTCTCGTCGCTCACTTCGACCTTCCGTTGGTTTTGCAATGGACAATAGCCGAGCATTTCTTTCAGTTCTTTGCTTGGAATCTTGTTTCTGTATTTATTCCACAGCCTTTGGCAAATTCTCTGAAGTCTTTTGTGCTTATTGGAATCAAATTTTTATTTTCTTCCACTTTTTATATTTTTTTAAAAATATTTTTATATTATATAAAAATATTTTTATATTATATAAAAAATATTTTTTATATTATATAAAAATAATTTTTATATTATATAAAAATATTTTTTATATTATATAAAAATATTTTAAAAATATTTTTTATATTATATAAAAATATTTTTTATATATAAAAATGTCAGGAAGTCGAGAAGCGAAGCGAGAAGAATTAGAAATGGATGAAGCAACAAAGAATTCCGCTTTTTCTGTAAATTTCGAGATCCGGTAAGAAAAATAAAAGCACAAACAGTGAGAAGATTATTAAAACCATTCGAATGGACTCTTGATGATTATGATCTTTTCAGCGACGAACAAAAGAGAGAAGTTGACAGAAGACTCAGAAAAGGCAAAACTTTTCTCTTTCAAAGGCACCTTGAAGCTGCATATCTTGAACCACGAAAGGAATATCAAAAATGGTTGAGAGACGAGCGTGAAAAGATAACAGGCCATCAATTCACAATGATGTACACAGATTTTGATCTCATTCACAAGATAAAAAATAAATTTTGGAAAAAATAGAATAGAAGAAGATAGATTAAGACTGAAGAAAATTTATCGCTTTCAAAAAGATATTGATGAAAACCTCTTTCTGCTTTTGACAGATGAAGAAATAAAAGATCGGTGCGAAGGCGAGCGGGGGGAGCTCAGAAAAATTTCACAATTTACTTTGAAAAGAAAAGCAGATTTTTATAATCACTACGCTGATCTTATTCCACCAAATTTCCAAAAATAATTTTCTCAAGCAAAGCGGCTGAAAAAGACCGAGATAAAATTTTATAAAAAATATTTTTATAAAAAATGGAGAACTGGAATGTTAAAGAATTAAAAGCCGAGGCAAAAGGACTTGGGCTAAAATAATATTCAAACCTCACAAAGCAGGATTTGATTGAGTTGATATCAAACATTATTGACCACCCAATTCCATCAGATTTC